CAGCCACTATGGAAACCAGTATGGAGGTTCCTTAAAAGATTTAAAAATAGAACTACCATATAATTCAGTAATCCTTCCTCTGGGTATTTTTTCAAAAGAATTGAAATCAGGATCTTGAAGAGGTATTAGCACTCCCACGTTCATAGCAGTACTGTTCACAATAGCTAAGATGTGGAGACAATCTAGATATCTGTTGATACATGAATGAATTAAAAATGTGGTATATACACACAATGGAAGATTATTCAGCCTTTAAAAAGAAGGACATTCTGTAATATCAACAACATTGATGAACCTTTAGGACATTATGTTAAGTGAAATAAACCAGTTACAGAAGGACAAATACTGAATAATTCTACTATATTAGGGATCTAAAATAGTCAAATTTATCTAATGAGAGAGTGGAATGGTGGTTGCCAGGACAACAGGCATAAAATTAAGATTGAGCAAGATGAATAAATTCTAGAAATCTGATGTACAACATTGTACCTACAGTCAATAACATATTGAATACTAAAAAATTTGTTAAGAGGGTAGATCTTATGTTAAGTGTTCTTACCACAATGAAATAAAGTAAAATTTAAAAAATATTGCAAAGCAATTCTTTGTACACACACTCATTGTGCAGATACATAAGTCTCTCTCTAGGGTAACTAATAATAAGTGGAATATATGGAGCATAGGTTATTATTTTGTTATAAAACATCAAATAACTATCTTAGCCTGCTGTTAAGTTTATGATGCTTTTGGTCTCAAAGACATTTAACATTTTGATGGAGATTTTTATCATTTGTTTTTGTTTTTGGATTTTGTTTTCTGTCTCATTTGTGCAGGCCTTTCTTACAGTGATCTTCTAGCAAATGCTCCTGTACTTTCTTGAAATACTGTTAGAGTTCTACTTCTACATTTTGGGCTTTCTCTTTTGTGTGTGAGGTATGGATATACCTTTATTTGTTTCTGAATACAAATTAACCATTTCACTGATTTTAAATACCCCTTATATAATATAGTAAGTTCCCATTTATATATGAGTCTTTACTGGATCCCTATTCTCTTCATTGTTCTCTTTATATATTTCTGTGCCAATCCCACACTCAGACAGGGCTTTCCTGACCAACTTACCTGAAGTAGCCCTCATTCACTCTCTACCACCTCATCCCACTGTATTTTCTTCATGGTACATATATCCCTTTAGGGTTCTTATTTATTTCCTTGTTTGCTTGTAGATTACATGCTCCATGAGGACAGCTCCAAGCTGCCTTTTTTAGCACATGGAATAGCACCTGTAGACACTTAGAGAACAGTTACTGGAAAAAATGGATGAAAGAACACCCCCTGACTAGCGATATTTGCAGTTTGAGCTTTATTTTCAAAGCTTGAATAAATTGTCAAAGGAATTTGTACTATTAACCAAAGAAGTGGGTACAGAAGGGCCTTTCTACCTCCTTGAAGTTCTTCCATGTATGTTTGTGGGTTCCTTTCACGTGTCACATTGCTTAAATATGGAACCCTTGGAAAAACTCACTCAAAAGGGCAGAAAAGGGTGACGTACACTTATCATAAACCTTGGGTACACTTCCTTTTAGGGATTTAGTGTGGCCAGATGTAGTCACTGAATATGTGGCTTAAGGCAATCATTAATTCACGCTGCAAATATTTATCCAGCACTCCGGTAGGTGTTGAGAAAGCAATGATGAGTAGAATAAACATGGAACTTATGGGGGTGGGGGGTGAGGAAGACCCTAATTAGACATGACAGCAATAAATACATAATTAGAAACTAGGATCATTTCTATTTAGAAAAATAATAAGAAGATTTTAGTGCACGTAACAAGTAAGAGGGCCAGGGAGTATTTTACGGAGGAAGTGACTGTCGAACGGAGGTTTGATCCAGACAAAGAGAGCATGAAGCATTTTGGCAGAGGTCCTGAGGAGTGTAGCTCTGGTGACGTTGGCAGAGGCCAGATCAAAGGAGAGTGTAGTATGATGACAAAGACAAAACAAACAACAAAACCCGTGTGGATATTGGAGTAATACAAACCCTGGGTTCACATGAGTTTTGGCACCTGTCAACTGTGTAACTGGATCAGTTTTAACCTCTTCCTCCTCAATTACCTTGCTCATGAAAACTAACCTCATTGGGTTACTGTGAATATTACATGAGAGAGTCTTTGGCACATGTTAGAGATCCATGGTGTAGTTAGAGTACTTCTGTTCTTCTTTGTTTGTTAGCTGCTGACACCTTACTTTTCAGCAAGCAAAGCAGAAATAATCACTTGTTTTGGAGATTCACAGCCTGAAACCAAGTAACAGTTTCCAAAAGGAAATTCAGTCAAAAAATTTTGAACATCCAGTGAGTTCTGCTTCGTTCAGTTAAAAACCATGTTTGAGTACCTGCTTTGTACAAAATATAAAGCATTCTTTTGGAGATACAATAATAAGCTATTTTGAAGGTAATGACTACATGGATCATTTTATAACTATGTTATGGAGGACCTAATGGAGGCAAAATTAGTGTGTGTTTTGGTGAAGGGAGTGAGGTGTGAAAGACATTCCTCGTAGAAGGAACCACTGGGGAAGGTTATAGAGGGGAGACAGTCATGGCCCACAACTCATGAGAAAGGTGCCACAAGAGAGAATTGTAGGACTCCTCTACCAAGGGAGAGGGTGGTTAGCCAAGGCAGGGTTTGCAAGGCCAAATGGTTGCTCACAAGGAGCTCGGGTCTTTGTGGAAGGACATCGTGGATCATGGCCATGGCCAGTGTTGGATTATAGCCGCGACCAAGGTCTCCAAGTTCTGCCTGTGTTTCTTTCTTGGGCATATTAGTTTGGGGACTCATTTATGGAAACACTGTGTTCCTGCTGCTGGCAGTGACGAGGCACACTGGGAGACACATATTTTAGCCCATCCAATCAATGCCATGAAACCACCCCTGACCCCTCACCATAAGGCCACTTTAGTCTTGTGTGCTTGATTAGTTTTGGCTCCATCCTTTTCAGGCATCTGAATATCTGCTTTTTTTTTTAATGACTTTTTTTGAGGAGGGCAGGTCAGAGCTCTACTGCCTAGAAAATATCATAGAAAGCTTCTGTTTCCTCAAAAGGGGTCTTGGCTCTGTTAGCGTATTATTTACTCCATCCCCACTATAGCCCATTATAATCCTACTCAGCCTTCAAGAACCTGATCAGATCAGATTTCTCCATGAAGCCTTCTTTAATCACCCTAGCTGAATGGATTTTGTCTCCCTTTATAATTATGTATTATTTATAACAGTAGATCCAATGTTTGGATTAGTGTTACCTGGTGGAAACTTTTGGATAAAATTTCTATTCTCAAACAGTTTTATGCTTACAGAATCAATGCAAAGATAGTGCATAGAATTCCTGTTTCCCCAACACCCAGTTTCCCCTATTATTAACATCTGACATTAGTACAGTACCTTTGTCATAGTGAAAGAGCCAATGTTGATACATTATTATTAACTAAAGTCTGTACTTCATTCAGATGTCCTCAGTTTTCCCCTATGTCCTTTATCTGTTCCATGGTCATCACCGAGGATGCCATGTTACATGTGGTTGTTATATCTCCTTAGCCTCCCTTAGCTGGGACAGTTTCTTGGGACTTTCTTGTATTTGTGATCTTGACAGTTTTGGGGATGACTCAATAGGAATTTTGTAGAATGTCCCTAAATTGGGATTGGTCTGATGTTTTTCTTATGATTAGACTGAGGTAATGAGTTTTTAGGAGGAAGATCACAGAGGCTAAGTGCCATTCTCATCACATCATATCCAGGAGATGTTGTATCAATATGACTTATCAAAGGTGAGGTTAACCTCCATCACCTGGCTTGAGGTAGTATTCATCAAGTTTCTCCACTGAAAAGTTCCTTTCTCCATTTCCGTTCCAGGCTCTTTGGGAGAAAGTCACTGTGTGTAGTTCACCTTAAGGGGTGAGGTTATGTGCCACCTCTTTAAGAGCCAAGTGTCTGCATAAATTATTTACAATTCTTTTGAATGGGAAATATTTCTGTTCTCCCCCATTTGTTTATTCAGTCATTTGTTTATATCAACATGGACTTGTAGATATTTCTTATACCTTGAGTTATAGTCCAAAACTACTTTATGTATTTTGTCACTCACATTGTTCCAGCTTTGACCACTGGGAACTCTTTCACTTGGTTCCTGTGTCCCTTTGACACATCCCCATCATTTTTTTGGGTGTATACTTTCTCGATTTCTGTCACTAAAAGATTCTGTATGTGTCCTACCCCAGGCCTGGGATCAGCCACTTCTCCAGGGAACTCTGGTTTCTTTTATTGGAAAATGGTATTAAAAACCAAGATGGCAGCACCAGACTTACTTGCTGCTGTTGTGGTATCTGGCTTCTAGGCCCTCTGGGCTGATACAGCAAAAAGACACTTGTGTGTATACTAACCTGTATATATGCTATATCTTTAAATGTTCCATATGTAACCATATGTATCTCTGTTAAGCTGAACATGAGTTCATACTAATGTCTCAACTCTAAGCCCTTACCACACAGGTCATTTGCGGAAATTTAAAGATACAGAATCCCAGGTACCGATAAATATTGACCTTAGATCTTTTGAAAGGCAAACACATTAACATAATTGAATGTTTTTCTTGGTTTAATATTGGAATCAGTATCAAAATTATGAAAACTTCATAAATGTAAGTTTTAGTTTATCACCATTCACAATTTGGGTAAGTATGTATTGTAGTAAAACTTTGTTACCTGCCTATAGTTTTGCTAATTTTAATTCCATGACCTAATAGAGTTTGGGAATTCTTACATCATGTGACTCTTGAATATCCCACTTGATTCTCAAAGTCTGTGATTTGAAGTCCCAGATATAGAAATAAAGACTCTAAGAACACAAATATAATCATAAAAATCACATTCATTCATATTGATAGTATTTGTCTCACTCATTTCCTCTCCTCTTTCTTGTTTTCTCGCATTTTTTGGTGGGCTGCAGGCTCCAGTTCCAACACCATCTTCTGAGCTGACCTCCGTTCCCAGGATGCCCTTGGTGCTGCTCCTGCTGCTGCCCATCTTGAGTTCTGCAAAAGCTCAGGTTAATCCAGGTAACACAGCCATTGCTCAGCCACATGCTAGAAGACCAAGTCCATCAATGTTTATCTTGGGAAAGGCCCTGCCAAGGGTATCCACAGGGTCTGTCTTTTTTCTTTACTTTTCTTTTCTTCTTTCCTTCTTTCTTTCCCTCTCTTTTTCTCCCTTCCTTCCTTTCTCTCTCTTTCCTTCTTTCCTTCCTTTTCCTTCCTTCCTCCCTTCCTCCCTCCCTCCCTTCCTCCCTCCCTCCCTCCCTCCCTCCCTTCCTTCCTTCCATCCTTCCTTCCTTCCTTTTACTTTCATGATGAAACATGTCCAAAGCAGAATCAGAAACTAATGTCCTGTGTCTATGTAACATCTTGACTATTGTGAAAGGGCTCCTGATATCAAGTAGAGTGGAGTGAATGGGAATTTAAAAAAAAAGAAAGAAAGAAAGAAAGGGAACTGGAAGAAGCATCCATATGCTTCTGCATCTTCTAGGAAACAGAAGGAGAGAACTTTTAGATGTCTTCTAGAACCTCTGCAGATTGGGTTTCCAGTTATTTTTCTCTGGTTCAGGCCTGTGTTTTACTTGGATGTCATGTTGTGCTTTTGGGACCCTGGTCTTGCCGGATCTTGGCAGTCTTTCCTACCGGGTGTGGCCATACTCAAAAATAGATGTGTGAAGAGAAATCTTTTCGTTTCCCCCAATTTTAAAAAATTAGTTGTATATTTTAACTTTAAATTGAAGCGTTCAGTTTTATCACTTGTCTATTACACAGCAGTGCCTCTTAATGACCTGTGTAGTGCTGGTGACTTTGCCTGGTTGAACTGTTGTTATGATCTCTGGGTTCCTGCACATATCTGGGAGTCAGCTGGTTATTGGCTCGTCTAGGACGGCCTTGGCTCTGACGACTGGGCACCTTGCTGTGCTCTCCTCCAGCAGACTAGTGTGGATATATTTTCATGGAAATTGCACATGAGCAAGAGCAGAAGCAGAGACGTGCAGCATTTCTCAAGCCGATGCGTCAGTCGTGTTTGCTGAGATCTCATTGGCCAAAGCAAATGGCGTGGCCACACCCAGTGTCCGAGTGGGCGGGCATAAAGAGTTACCTGGGACAGGCCTGAGTACAGGGAAGGGGGAGGACAGCTCGTGTGGACACAAATATAAATACAGGAAAGTACCCATAGTATAAGTGCTCAGTGTGATGAATTTTACAAACCGAATACATCCATCAGCAGGATCCAGATTAAGAAACAGAACCTCACCAGACGTCAGAGGCTCTCCTCGCGCTCCTTTCCAGCCACTTCTCCCCACCCTCACCCCAAGCTAATTGTTATCCTGCTTTCTAACAATATAGATTAATTTTGCCTGTTTTTGTACTTTATATAAGTGGAAGCAGATGATGCCTAAATGCTCTTTTGTGTCTGGCTTCTTTCATTCAGTGTGTTGTTTGTGATGTTCATTGCATGCAGTTGGCAGCTATTTGTTTTCATTGTTGTATAATGTTACTTTGTTTGACTATTTTATTTATCCAGTCTACTGTGGATGGGAATGTGGATTGTTTCCAGTTTGCGTCCATTATGAATAAATCTGCTATAATCATTCTCGTAAAGGTCTTTTGGTAGAAGTATGTACTCAGCCTTTTGGAGTGTACACCTAGAAGTGTAATTGCTGGGTTATATGTCATATACAATTGCTTTTCTACATACCACCAAGGAGTTTTCCAAAGGGCTTTCACCCATTTGCCCCTCCATGGTCGCATATGAGAGTTCCAGTTGCTGCGTGCTGTATTTGGATTTTTGAGGACATTTTTATTTTGTCCTTTTCCTATAGCATGAGGGTACATTGTGAACATTCTCACCCTCTTCCTCTCGCAAGAATTCCGTCTCCGTGGGATAGTCTTCATACGTGAAAAGGAAGTATAATCAAAACACCTTAAAATCAAAGATTTACTGGTTTAATAAACCCAGTGTCTTACTACTTTCTTGTAATGAGCTTAGTTGGTACATTTCAGATCTGAACTTCGACTCACCAGTCTTTCATTTTTCTCCTCTGTGTTCCTCTCACCTGGTTGAAGGGTGGTTGCCTCCTGCTCAATGTAACAAACCCATTGTCATCTCCCTGACTAGATCTCCTAGGAAGTGTCGCTGTGTGTGTGCAGAATGGTAGAAAGTTTTGGTGCCAGGCACATTCACAGAGACTGAAATGACATGAGGGCATTTTCATGAATACACCAAAAGAGCTAGCCATCTGTGTGAGAGGAAACTGTGGTAGCGCTCCGGCAGGAAATGAGCTGTTTGAAGACAGCAAACAGTTATCTTTAAAACATTTTCTCCCTATTCCTGCTGTCAACTATTTCTATTGGCTCTTTCTGCCAGGGAAGAAGAAATAAAGGTCTTGACTTGCAAAGATCTTTATAGGAACATAGCATATTTGAGGTATGTTGAAGAACTAATCCTTCTCTCTTCCATGTCTTCTATTTTATCAAGGTAAGCTAGAGACAAGCAATGGGAAATTGTAATCTGTGTTAAAGGATCTGGTCACAAAGCTTGAGCTTCATGGAGTCTTAGGGCATGCACACTGATTAACATAGAGTAGGTATATAGTAAACACATGTTTATGGATTTATGGGTGGCTTTTTAGGAGTCCTATTGGTGTTTCTTGAAAGATGGAAATTCTTGGCCAGTTAAGTTTTCCCCATAGGTTGGTCACATGGTATAAATAGATGGCATCTTGGACTTAAGCCAGGAGAACTGGGTTATAAACAGATCTGGTGTAGAGCCAATTGTTAAAATATCAACACATATTTTAATAGATTATTTGATATAAAATATTGGCTGCCAAATAGTAATTGGGTTAAGCATTAAACTTAATTAATAATATAATTAATCTAAAACAAGCTCATTCATTTAAGCCCACTTTGGAGATTTCATCATGGCTGCTGGCGTCACCCCACAGAGGCTGCAGAGTGGTGTTAGGAGGATACAGGTAGTAGGTCATGACATGATGGCAGGTCTCTTGACTCGCTGCTCTACAGCAGCAGAGCTCTGACAGGGGCAGCAGAGCAGGTGGTGGGGCAGGCAGTCATGGTGGCATTTCTGGTAGTGTCAGTGTTGAAGGCAGCATTGTCCCTGGGGCTGCAGCATGGACTCTGCAGGTCCCCGTGGGAAATGCTGACATGCAGGATTATGTACCCAGTTCTGAAGCGTGCAGTGTGCTGAGCCATCTTCCAGTTCTAACAGCGCACAAGGGACCAGGTCCCAATGACTGTCGGTTCAATGGGGAAGTCATTGGAAAAGTTTGAGGCAGTTTCCTCTGTCAAGATCGTGACTCAGGAGTATCAGTTAGCTGGTAGCATCCCTGTCAAACAGTCATACCAACACTTTCTGAAAAACATTTCCACAAATCAATAAATGATTTGGATATTACTAGAACATTCTGATGAATGATTTGCAGTTCACTTAGAAAATGATGTTCAACTCATTTAGAAAGTTATTTTGAGGAAAAACCTGGTTACAGTTCTGGCTTGGTCTTAAATTAGTTGTGTGACACTAAGCATGCCACTGTACTTCTCTTCGCACTCCCTTAATCCTTTCACCTGTAGTGAGATGAAGTTGGATTAGATGATCTGTGAGAGCCTTTCTGTCACTATGATTTTATGGTGTGGGAGCTTTACTGCCTGTATTGGAAGATGTGGATGGGCTTTGGGCTTGGAAGAAGGGTCCCTGATCTTGCATGGCTGTTCTTTGTAAGAAAATCCACTTGTTTCCAACTCCCTGGCACTTCTCAGACTCAGGGATCTAAAATCTGAACTTTAAAACAACCTTGCCTTTGAGGTGAAGCACAAAGAAGATAGCCGATAAATATTTTTTTAAAATTTAAACCCTGAAATGCCCTCCTATGACAGGTTGGGTACAGACAACCTGCCCCAGCCTAACCGACAGGAGTTTCATAGTACTAGAAGCCTTTTGTAGGGCTTTTTTTCTGTGGACATGGGTCCAAGAAGAAGTCTTTCAGGAAGAAGGACTAGCGTACCCAGTGGCTGGGAGGGAGGGAGAGGTACACATGGGCTGCCTGGTGGAGGGCGCTGAGTGAGGGACCCAAAGGGGCAGCTTTTCCATCCTCCCATGGGTCCTTGGGTCAAGTTTCCCCTCCTTCCCAACTTGGGCTGGGTTACAGGACTTAACTGGAGAGCTTGGGAGTACCTCCAGGAGAAAGGGAAGTCTTTGGACTTCACAATGAAGCATAAGAATACTCTGGGCTGTAGTAGTTGTTTGATCAGCCACCAAGATCAGACTCCTCCAGGCTTCTCCTTCGGTGGCCAGTCAGGGCCCAGAATCTCATGGATTTCTAGGTAGGAGGATGGGTAAAAGTGACCTGATTACCCTGGACACAGAGCCCCTGGGGTCTGAGGTCCTAAAGACTCACCCAGCCAACCAGATAATTGCTCTATGTGAGGAGCACAAGGGCGATTGGTCCCACCCTCTGACTTGGCCTGCGATAACTGCTTTTACTTGGAAAAGGGAGAAACAGCTCTTTTCCCTAACAGGTAACCCAGGCACTTAGGATCCATGGTACGGAGACAGGGCAGGGCAGTGCTGGGGCTTTCTATTTCCATTCCACGTTTTCCCCTCCTAGAAAGCGGGCAGCTTACTAGCAATTCAGAGCCCTGGGGTGGGGGAGTCCTCTTTCAGTGTCTAGAATGTTCTACTTACAGGGAAGGGACAAAGACATTAGGGGGTTGGGATTTTGAGAGGAGGAATTCTTCTTCTATAGACTCCAAATTTGTTTTAGGTTCATCATTGTGGTTTTGTTATTTCCAGCATCAGTCCTACCTTCCAGTGAGTTCTTCAGGTCTAGGCAACTAGCATCTTAGGCTGTTTGTATTGCAATGGACCTTAGCAATATTCAAGTCTCTCTTCCTCATTTTACACATAAAGGAAGTGGTGTCAAAGGGGGTGAGTGATTTGTCCATGAGCACAGATAGCTTATGGTAAAGCAGGAACCCAAGGCTCCAGTCTCCCGGCCCTG